CAACACGCCCTGAGCGATACCAGCGCGGATGTCGTTTTGAGCAAAGCAATCGATCACTTCAGAAACGCCATATTGCAGGGCCAAGGCCTCGAGGCCTTGAACAGCATCCTCACGAACGTATCGATACAAGACGAAGACGAATGGGCGGTCGCGGGCTTAAGCTCCATGGCGGAGAGGAACCACAAATCCACATTGGTCAGGGGAGGGAAGCTCGTCGCCACATACACTCTGGCTGAACAGGGCGAGTTGAAGTATGCCGCAGAGGTATCATTTGCCGAGGTTTCCCTGACTGGTGATGAGGCGGCCCTCGTCGACGAGGCTGTCTTTATGCAAGTCAAGGAGTCAGTGCGCACCGAGATGGACTGCCAGGTCTGTTACGCACTCTTCTATGATCCTTTGACGACGGTGTGTGGTCACACCTTCTGCCGTTCGTGCCTCCACCGCGTCCTCGACCACTCACTCTACTGCCCGATCTGTAGGAGAGCCTTGTCAATCAGCCCTTTACTGCATCGACAATCATGCCCATCCAATGAAAGTCTGTCGAAGATGATCAACACTTTCTGGGCTGATGCCGTGCTAACCCGAGGAGATGCCCTAGCGGCTGAGGCGTTGAATCGACATCGAGAGTTTGACATTCCCGTCTTCGTCTGTACGCTGGCATTCCCGATGATGCCAACGTTCCTTCACATCTTTGAGCCAAGGTATCGACTCATGATTAGACGTGCGTTGGAAGGGGATCGGACCTTTGGAATGGTTATGCCGCGACGACCACGGCATGCAGACGACGCTCCGTTTGTTGAGTACGGTACACTTCTCCGCATTGTCAATGCGGAATATTTCCCAGACGGCCGCAGCTTGATCGAAACCATTGGCATATCTCGTTTCAAGGTTGTGAGGCACGGGGTCCTCGATGGCTACATTGTCGGCAAGATTGATCGCATCGACGATGTCAGCATCGCTGAAGAAGAAGAACTTGAAGCCCAAGAAATTCGACATTCATCTTTGCAACGTGTCGCCAGTAACACGTCGCAACGTAGTGGCTCAGGGACGCCGCCCAGAGTAACAACGACAACGGAGGATCTCGCGAGGATGCCTACCCGGGATTTACTCGACTTTGCCGTTTCATTTGTGCAAAGGATGAGCCAGCAGAGTGTTCCCTGGCTTGCCCAGCGCATACTTACAATCTACGGGGAGTGCCCAGTTGACGCAGAGCAGTTCCCCTGGTGGTTTGCCAGCATTCTTCCCGCCAAGGAACCCGAGAAGTACAGATTACTAGGAACACAGAGTGTTCGCGAACGACTCAAAATCTGCTGCGCCTGGGTCCTTGAGTGGGAAGCCAATAGGTGGTAAGCCAGCCCTGCCCTTCTTTAGTCCGTGGCGGTTTTACACCGCAGCCTTTCTGCTGGCCCTCCCCCCCCTGGGCCCTCGTTAGTCTTTTGTTCAAAGAATCAACGGGCTAAGGCGATCATATATCAGGGGCCACTTTATTGACGGCCGGCCAGGTCTCTCTCAGAGTGTCGCATCCTCTGAAGCTGGTGAGGATTAGCTATGAACCCCGCTTGTCCCGACTCATCTCTAAACCCGCCGATGGTCATATCGCAACGTTTGCAGTTGGGGGCTTCAAGACTCTCAAATCACCTCTTTTTCTGGATATAATGACTAGGGCAGCGAGTCGGCTAGTCCCGACGGTCTTCAACCATGAAGGCATTGTGTCGCAGTGATTAGGAAGCATAGTGATATTGGTATGGCGGAGGATTGTTTGCATGGCTTCACCACACTACACATACCACTTTCTGAAAGATTTTGCCATCATAAGATTTTACATAGCATGATACCGTAGGCGAGACACAGAAAGAGCAAGAGTTGAATGAATGATGTTTCACATGACGCGTCACCATGATCCATGCCCGAAGGGCGGCTTTAAAGGGGGGTATCAATTGTTCTTTTTCGCGGTTGCACCGCTTCACACCAAGCCTGTCTGTACAGCCCATCCAAATGGCCCCTCTCGCCCTCGTTACGTCGCAGCCGAAGGCTTGAACTCCCCCAAACCTTCTTGTGCCTTGTCTGGGTCTTCGGCTGCCGGCGCCGCGTCAGCCATGACAGCATCATCTTCGTTCTTGTCTGCCGCGGCTGCAGGCGCATCCTCGCTCAGCTTGTGTTCTGTCTGCGCCTCCGTCTCCTCAGTCGGCTTCTCGTCCGTTTTCTCCGGCTCCGACACTCCCTGCTCGGCTCCGTAAATAAACGTCTCCAAGGCCTTGAATGTGGCGTCGAGTTTCTCATTCACGAGCACCTCGTCGAACCCTTCCTTGAGTATGGATCCCTCGGCGAGATAAGGAGCGACAGCGGCTCCTGTGGCCTTGACGGCGTCTTCGCGTTCCCCGGCGGCTGTGAGCCGTGCCTCCATAGTCTCCTGGTTTGGTGGAAGGAGAAGGACAAAGCGAGCCTCGAAACCGAAACTCCTGGCCTGTTCCGTCGCCTGGAGGGGAAATTAGCGTGAGGGACTGATAAGATTGCGGAGGGGGAAAATCCATGACGATGCGACTTACCTCCTGGTCCATGTGCAGGATCGGCACCTTGCCGCTTGCGACGATCCCATCAATTGTCTTGCGACTGGTGCCGTAGTCGTCTCCGTCGATCGTGGTGTACTCTATCAACGCGTCGCCGTCGCGCTGCATGTCAAAGGTCTGCTTGTCTACGAAAAGGAAATCCCGCCCCGCGACCTCGCCGTCTTGGGGTTTGCGCGTTGTGTGGCGAACGACCTTTGCGAATGCGCCCGGTTGACGGCTGAGTAGAACGTCAGTAGTCGTCGACTTGCCCACGCCGGGAGGGCCTGAGATGACAACGGGTCGCTGGTCGGTGGGGAGAACGGCCTTTTGTTCCGGCGCTGCTTCGGGTTCAGGGACCGCATCAGGGTCTTCGATTTCGCCAAAAATGGCGTCTATTTTTTCTGGGTCGCTGATTTTGTCAAATAGACCCAGTCTCGACCTTGCCGCTATGCGCAAGGCACGCCAGCTCTTGCTCGCTTTGGACTCGATCGCTGCTGCTTTCGTCTCGTCGTTCGTCGGCATCTCAATCTCAAAGTCGTCATCCGCAATCTTCCTCCTGAAACTCCCAAGCTCAGGAAGTTCGTATCGATCGGGTGCCCTGAGCTTGTCAAGAGCCTTCTCGTCGTCCTCGTCCTGCATAAAGTCCAGAGGCAGCGAGCCCATGGGCGGCTTCATGCGCTTGTTCCTTGTGATGGAGTAGAGCTCATCCTGGGCCTTCGACCATGTCTCCGGCGAGAGGGGGGGCAGCTCGATCGGAGGGCAGCCTTCCATCTTCCATCGTATCCAGTTGCGGTCCCTAACCAGCACTGTCTCCACCATACGATGGTAATGAGGTCCGTCGCTGCCCTGTTTCAGGCCGTCCTCCACGGCCTCTTTCATGTCACTCGCCCATTTCGCCTAAGCAACCAAGTCAGCCAAGCCCAAACCAGAACAAGTCTTTGAATACCTACATCTTCTTCGCTCAAAGTCTGATCCATGTACATGACAGACTTGTTTTGCGTTTTGATCGTTGCGAGCTTCTCTTTCGCCTTGGCTGAGAGTGAGAGTAGAAACTCGAGTATGATATAGGCCTGGACCAGAATATTTCTTCGAAACGATAGGTCGCTGATTTCGAGCTCGAAAAGGTCTTGGCTGGTGAGGTATTTCGGGTTGAATGCATTCGACTGATCTCCTTGGTCGTCATGATTGCGCTTCCGCTTAGTACCGCCTACAGCGCTGTCGGCAGCTTTGGGTGGTCTGCTGCCCTGCTCTTTCTGGACCACTTTGAACGCCTTGACCGTCGCTTCTAGGCCTTGCTTGAATCCCTCTAGGTTCGTCATGTCAAACAGCTTCTTGGGCTGACTGAAACTTTCCTGAAGCGACCAAAAGACTGGATACAGAGCATCAGCGTTCACAGCGCCGTCTTGAGAGCTTTGCTTGTTCGCGTCGGGTCCAGCAGCCGCATCTTTCTCCACTTCCATCTTGTCCGCGTCGGGGTCCATTGGTGCCGCTGATTGATCGTATGCTGTTACATTTTCCACGTGGTATTCGCCGCGCAAATTGACGGAGCTTCGGTCTCCCAAGGGGAAGCTCTGGAACATGAAGATAAAGACTCGACCACAGAAAGCCGTGTCTTCGGCGCGAGAAAGACGGCGCAGTAGCTCATTGCAAGTTCGCAGGATTACCAGTTGCTTCTGCTTAAAATGGCTCGAGGTAATCCTTTCGCGTCTGGACTCGAGGAAATCGAAGATCTTGCGGCAGCCGGCGATCGTTTGACTGTCGAGAAGCTCTTCGACCATCCAGAAGAGCAGCGCGGGGTCGCACGATCCGTTATCGGATAGTATAGAAACGATGTCGAAGAGGTTCCAAAGTTGCACAAACTCCGGGGATTCGATCTTTGTGTTGAACTACGGAACACGTCAGTCACAGGGCCAGATTGGTCACAGACGCTCGACTCACGACCAGGGTTTTGAAGAGATCGCGAACAGCGGTTTCGATGACGGCAAACTGTCTGATTTTGTCTTGACTCTGTTGCGCCGCGCTCTCAGTAGCCTCAGCACCACGGCCATCGGCAAAGATGGCGGTTATCCTATCAATGTCGTTTCCGAGGTCGGACTTTTGGAGCGCTGGCTCGATCGTGGGAGGTTTCGTTCCTCTTGCACGGTCGAGAAGATCGCTCAGGACAGCCGAAACATCGGCTACTGTGGAAACACGCCCATCGCTGACGATTGTTCCTGGCATGGTGATTGTCGGTGCAGCAGATGTCGAGAACGAGAGTTGGTCGTTGTTGAGCCGCTGCCGGTATGGCGCACCGACATTAGCCAAGAAAGTATATGAAGAAGGCGATCAGCGAATTTTCGACTTTGATTGTGGTTTTCGCAGCTTCCAGAGCGTCGCGCGCTTCGTGATGTCAGGGTTCAGGTGCCGTGGAAGGTGTCGCAATCACAGTGTCTGAACAAGAAATAGTAGGATGGCGAGGCTACAAGAACCATGTGCCAATTGAGGTCGAGTTGAGGGTGGAGTTCTGTAAGCACATTAGGAGGTATGGTTCCAGCTTTTAAATGCATAAACTTGCCGGCAGTGGGGCGGCTACTGACAAAGTCCCCTGCACGATCGACGCCATTGAACCGCCGGATAACCCACCAGTCGCGACCCGGTCGCGTGGGACTTTGACGAGGCTGAAATTTCTAAAGACGTCAACAACGACATTTGCCATCATCTCTTGTCTCGCCAATCCTCAACTTGTCGCAACATCTAGCCGACAGCTCGCGATACAAGCCGATCCTCAGTCCGCGATATGCAAGTGCGAGTTGAGTTCATTGCCCAGGTCTGAGCAGTAGGAGCTCAACAATGCCGACAGCCAAGCGCCAGAAGAAGGGGGCGCGATCCCAGCCCAAGGATCAGGCGCCATCAGAAGCTGCAGCGGTCGGTGGTGATCGACCTACTGTTTCCGAGATCGAAGGCGAGAATGAGTTCTCTCAGTTGGCGCGGAAACACTGGTTGAAACCCAGAAAGAAGGGCTCGGTCATCAAGGTCAAGAACGACATACTCAAGAAAGATATATGGTCGGTTCTGGAGCGGGACAATTTCCCAGACAAGTCGTTGCTTGTTCTTGAGGGGCTCCAGACGCTCGAGAGGTCCGTGAGATGTCTGGTTCCATCATGTCACAGCTAAGCTAATCTGTGCCTCAATGTAGTTATCTGTGGCCTGGCTACTCCGACGACTCTTCTAATCACCATGTCATCCTGATAGTTTTGCTCGTAAACGTCAAACGAAAGGAGCAGCTTGAGTCATGGACAATATTCGAAGACAGACCTGACGAATTTTCCGGTCTTTTCCGCCGGGTTCTGACCATGACCCTGGATCATACCCTCTCCCCGACCATCAGAAGCCATCTACTGTCATTCCTCATATCAGCCTTCCAGAGTCTGGACTGCGCGATCGTGCGGAAAGAGTGCGCGCCATTGGTCTCAATATCCATTTGGCACAATCTTTCGACAGACACGCTCAGGGAGACGAAGCTGGAGCAATATCCCCATGTCAGGAAGGCATGGAGGGCAGCCGCGAAGAGGCATGAAGCAGCAGACGAAGCCACTAAGGCTCGTTTGCGCTTCGAGCGCTCCTGGCTGTATACGCTCGTGTTGGACTTCTTGAAACGATTGTACGATGAAGATACGAAGCTTGGTAAGTGAGGTCGCGCCCTGTTCTGCGGGATCTTGACTAAAATAGCACAGAACACATACTCTACTGTGAGCGATTCGTCGAATTCCTCACAGATCTTCTCAGTCAGTTGCCGACTCGAAGATATGTCAATACGCTGCTAGCTGATTTGCATCTCTTGCCGGCTATGCGGCTCTCGCCAATGCTGAACGACGAAGACAATG